TGCATTAGACAATGCTTGACATTACCACATTTTCAAAAGTTTTTTTGTTGAAAATCATCAGTCGGAAGCATGGAAGCATTGTTATTGCTGCGTGAAAATATTGCTGATCGATTGGTGATAAAATTATGGAAATTGGTTCAGGGGCAGCTGACCCAAGTAACATTTTAAGTTTTATGAAATACTACAAAGCAACTATAAAACAACATTCATAAAACTCTGGTCAAGGCTGTTTTGTCATTAATGCATCCACCAAAACCTCATTTAGACTAGAATATGTCTAGTTGGCCCACCCTGGAGAAGGTGCTGAAGGGTGTATTCTCGAAGCTCTTCAAGATTGATTTACTGCAAATGGTTTTTAAACGAACGCATTGAGAACCATTTGAAAGCTACAATAAAAGCTATTTAGCAACAATAAAAACCCTTTCCGAGCCATTTCCCCTAGCCGCATGCTGAATCCACTAGGAAAGCATCAATCAAGATAGAAAAGGATTTATGAATCCAATTTTATTAAAGTAATTAAAATATAAACTGATGGTATAAAAATCTTGTTGAATATCCAAATTTATTACAATAGTTCTCATTCAGTGGCCTAGTTTTAAGTGCCTTATTGAATTTTATGTGAAATGTACGTGAAAACATCGAAAAAAAATAAGTGCGCCCTCGTAAAACGTCGATTTGACTAATTATTTTGCATTAAAAAAAAATAATTATTTTTTAGATCAAGCTAGACCGAGATTGTTTTAATGATTTTCGCATTTAAATGTTTCCTCATTGCTAAATTTACCAAAATACAGTTATATCCAAGGAACTATAGATTGAAAACCGAAAATTGTAAAAAAAAACTAGCAAACAAATTGTAACATGGCGGAGGCATAAAAGATGATATGCATGGGTCATTTGTGAAAAAGTTGTTTTGCTTTCAATAAATCCCTAACAAATTCAAAAGGTTTAAAAAAGGCTTCTATGGAGAAAACTTGCAGGCTGAATAGTATTTATCTAAAGCCATTTTGCTTGATCCTAACCCGTTCAAATTTATGGCAGCATTTATGGAGGCAAAGTTGGCTGCAAAAAGTTAAACGTCAAAGTTTGTTTATCTTTCGATAGTTGCGCTGTGAGATCCAGGATTCTTCCAGGCGGTTTTCTCCCGATGCGATGGATTGGGAGCTGTTACTCAGATAGTTTACGATACTGTTTTACAACATTTCGCAATTCGAACAGCTGGAAGCGCAATCGTTCCCGAAAATATCCCCTTCCGGATGGTTACAGAAGTGCACCATCCAATGATGCAGGGATGTACGCTGGAATGAAATTTTTGAAGAGTTGATTCTTTCGCCGAATAAAATCGCTGCTTTGGATCGGAAAGCAGCTAATCTCCACTAACTAACAGGTTCAGTGGTTTGCTGTCGGTTGTTATTTCGATTGTCACCGCAAGATCTGGAGAAGGCTGGTATGTTTTTCAACTTTCGACAATGTTTTATGAGTCCGAGGGCCCCGCTTACTTTACTCTTCTCCGCTAGATGGTCAGTCGTTGGTGGTGTGCTGGTTCTTCTAAAGAAGTAAATTGTGCTGAAATTGACTTGATTTTTTCATCCTACTTCGTCTATCCTTCAAGATTTCCTTGCATAAATTTGGCTTTTATTAACTATGAGGAACCATCTTTTAGCTCAATTTGTAAACAAAGTAATTGGGGAGTTCATGATGCACTTTAAAAAGCCTAAAAAGCAACAATAAAGGTTTTTTGCTCTAATGCAAAACCTAGTGGTTTTACGGTTGCTTTTATAATGATAGAACACGTTTATAAAGTATTTTATCAAGACATTAATAAACAATTGCTAATGACGTTTATGCTTGAATTACAGAGCAGTTTTAAAGAGGGATTGAGAACAGTTTTAAATTTATTTTTAAAACAAGGCAGTGTTTGACTTTCTTGCCAGACTATAAAAGGTTTTTAAAACAGCAAAAAGCTGAATTACTAAGCAGGAATGTTTTACACTTTTAAATGCTGTATTTATACTAAATGGGAATGTTCATTGCCGTTATAAAACCATCATAAATCAGAGTGGATGCCAAATGGTTACTGAATTGTTACTTGGGGAGTTATTAATGTTCAAAATCTTTCAAAATTTTGTTACATGTTCCATTTTCGGTTTTCACAAAGTGTACCCCCATATAGAAATCACAGACGTAGTGCTACATCGAAATTTGAAACTGTAATGTCCATTAACGTTCCATTACCATCTTCAATATTCCAGGATATTTCAAGAAGTTCTGAGAATTTCATGGAAATTCCACAATTTTAAAGGAAGTTCCGAAAATTCCATGGTAGATCCTGAGACCTTTAAAAACATCCGGAACAGTTTAAAAACTTGTTATAATGAGTTCCAATAGCTGTCAATAGATTTCAAGAAAATTTCGAGAGCTTCACTTAAGATCAATAAGTTTCAGAACAGTTCCATTAAAATCAAGAAAATTACGTGAACTTTACTGAATATATCAAAACTTCAGTTGAGTTTTAAGATCTTAAAAGAAGTTGCATAACTTTGGGCAGTTCTGAAATGGAGATTTTTAAGCAGGTTCATTATTTATTTATTTAATTATTTATTTATTTATTTATTGTAATTCAACTGACAGTAGTAGAGTAGAAGTCTTAATGAATAAAACATAGATAATACACAAAAAAGCAACAGATAAACAGATTACCAAAATAATCACAATATTCTCAATCGGTTTCGAAATTGGTTCGATGTTTCTCCGAATTCAAATGCTTCTTCCACACCGGAGAATGCCTGAATCATCGCAGACATTGGCTCATGGTATCCATATGCAGTCCGATGTAATCTTGGTTGGAATCACGGCAAGCTGCACAAAGCAAACCTCAAAAATGTTTTCTGAACACGTTCTATTCGGAGATTCCACACTAGCTCATATGGAGACCAGACCACGGATGCATTCTCAAGTATGGGCCGAACTAAAGAGCAATATAGTTCCTTCAAGCAGTGAGGGTCTTTGAAATCTCGTGCAATCTTCGAAATAAATCCCAGTTGACGATTCGCCTTAGAGATTATCGAGGAATAGTGAAGATTGAAGGTCAACTTTGGGTCCAAAAGAACACCAAGATTAGTCATACGTTCTACTCTGCGAAGCGTTACATTGTCAATGCAGTAGTCGTAAAGGATTGAACTCTAAGAGCGGTGAAACGTCATCACTGCACACTTTGGAACGCTGATGATGAGCTTATTGCGACGGCACCAATCCACAAACAAATCTAGCAGAGCTTGAAGACGATAACAATCCTCAATCGAGTGAACTATGACGTATAGCTTAAGATCATCTGCATAAACGAGCTTGCATTTAACTCCCAACAAAGCTGCTACATCGTTGAAGAATAACTTAAACAAAAATGGACCCAGGTTACTTCCCTGAGGTACTCCAGAGGTGCTGGTAAACGTAGAAGACACAAGATCCTAGTCGTACTCGAAAAGTTCCTCCAGTCAAGCAGGAATGTAACCACGACCTAAGTTGCTCGGATGCTGCTAGTCGGAAAAGCTTGCATAACAAAACCTTCTGGTCGATTTAGTCGAATGCGGCTTTCAGATCAGTATATACACACCAAAAAATTCTTAATTTTAATTGAGATGTAAACATGCATTCACGTAAAGTTGTATTTTATTTCACGCAAACGAGCAACTTGTAAGCAATGTTGTTTACAAATATGGGCTTTTGTGTACAATATTTGCAACATCGTATGAAATGTCTCAGAACTTTACATGATTTATAATGTAAATTTATATGATATGTGACGCTCCATTTATGTGCATCATATTGAACAGAAATTTACACTACTTTTTCGAACCGTGTATGACGTCAACTTGTGCCTTATCCTCCATCGCGGTGATGCATGTACTGGTGAAATCCAAAATGTTAGTAGGTCGCTACCGGAAGAACGTTCAAGAAGTTTCAATAATTATAGAACATTCCAAGAATTTCAGGAATGATCCAAAAATGCCTGGAAATTTGAATATCAGGAAAGTTATTGAAACGTAAAAGAAGTTCCAAGAACTTCTTGAAAACTTATTGAACTTCAGGTAAGTTTAGAAATTTCAAAGAATGTTCCATGAGGTTCAAGGAAGTATTGATTCAGAGCTCTTTAGGGCAATTCCAGTTACTTCGATTAAGCACCGAAACTCTCATAAAAGTCTAGATTTGCGAAGAAGTCTAAAGATCTTGAATAATTAGTAATTTGGTTTTGGTTTTTAAATCTACAAGAAAAATTGTAGATAACAGTTCTATCATCTTCAAGTTTTCGATCCAGAATATCTTAATCAGGACTAATTTTAGTTTGAGATTTTTTGTGGAAAACTGTGTCATATGGGATTTCTTCACTTGTGCTTAAGTCTTAAACCATGATTACTCATATGGTTATATCTGGTTTAAGGCTTAGGCGGAGGTGAAGAAAACGGCCCTTAATCGATAAAAACCTCTTATCCCAATGTGAAAGTTGTGAAAACGGATTCTGTGATCTTAAAGAGAACACTAAATTCAAAAATCTGCCCTATGAATCATGATGAAATTGGGAAAAGTACTGAATCGTTAATTCCATAACGGCAGTTTATATGGTCCGTAGAATACATTCTCTCGCTTCAAATCGTTCGATGAAGTTCATCGCTCGTGAATAATTATTTCCAGTAAAACCAACTGTGCCACGAGCATTCCATTACCAACACACAAACAACGTTGATGGATCACCAAACAGCCTTGGCATATTTTAAAGCTAATCGTAGGAACAGCAATAAAACCAAACCATAAACTGACTCAACAAGCTCAGCTGAATTCCATCATCCCCAACTCCTTCGCGTTAGGAAAAAAAAACGACAATCGCTAATGGGCTGCTGCTGTTCTATATCGTTTGCAAGTCAAAGTTCAGTGGTGGGTGAACATCATCAGTAAAATAAAACAGTGTTAGAAAAACACTGGGCAACGTAACGTTCTCGTTTACTTACCATGACGGCGTTCATTTTAAAATCCATAAAATTCTTCACCTCGGTCGCCAGCTCACGTAGCAGTAGGATTCCATCCTTGCGATTAACGTCCAAATCGTAGTCCTTGTATTTCTGGAATAGAGAAGATACGGAGAAAACGGAAGAACGTTTTAGGGCGATGTGAAAGTCATAAAACGGAACGGGCTAATAGAGGAAACTTTCGCTGCAATACATTCAATTTGATGTTGGTTTGGTGACGAGCGCCACGCGACGAGACTGATAGCGATAAACGGTGGACGGGTGGCGTTTTGGTGGGTGGCGAAGACGGAAGCAATCTCAATCAATTTACAATGACACGAAAACTACGCGCCAAACCGCGTTCTGCTCGTTTCGGACTCGGTCACCACCGGCACTGCACGGACGCATCAATTGTTCGCCTTGCGGTCCGAAACCGACCGGGCAAGAAAATTATAAAACAAATTAGTGTCAAACGATAGATTAATCTAATTATCAATCGGATATTATCACATATCTGTTATCAATTAAGCTAATATGGAAATTAAACGGACGTGGCGTGCAAGGCGATGGTAGTGCGTATGACGCTAGATAGGGATGCTTGTTGCACGTTTTGCAATGTAATTGTTCCTTTCAATGTTGACATGCTTTCTAAACATATAAGTGTGTAGCTACTAAAATTTATTGTCATGCCTATATTTTTTAGTATAGGTGCGTAGTAAGGGGTAGAATTTAGAGGTGTACTTCAAAGGGAGTCTGAGGAGAATTCCAAGGGAGCTCCAGGAAGAACTCAATGGGTGTTTTCTAGAATACCAAGATAAAAATAAGATAATTCGAAGGCTATAGTAAAACGAGCTTCAGATGAATTCTAAAGAAAATTGCGTACTGGTTTTGAGCAGACTTATCAATTATGTTGGAGACACACAAAAAAAACACTATCCCTGAGATAATTATTCCTACAAATTTCATAAACTACATCGTATGAACGTATGCAAACACGAGCCTGAATCAATTTCATAATTATCTTATGTTTTCATACTCCATCAATAGTATTCATAATTTGATACAACAAAAGGTATACGAAAAACATTAAAATTTCATAAACACATCGTATGAATTATTTTGGTTCAGCTTACGGCAAAAAATCATACGATGATCGTATGAAATTTATTTAAACAGTGTAAATCAAAACAACAACAAAACACAAGATGGCGGATTCAGCTTTAAGACGTGGCGCAAGGCTCCGTAAACCTGTAAGTAAATTTAATTCGTATTGTTTCATTGTAGTTTACAACTTTATTTACATTTGTAGACAGTTAAGCAAGCTGCTGCGGACGGGTAAGTGTCAGATATATGTTTTGTTTTTGTGTTGATAATTTAATACAACAGTAAATTTTTTTGAACAGGAATCGGACACGAGTACAAACAAAACTACTCGCAAAATCGTAAGTATAAAGTTCTCAGTTGGCTCGTTATTTTTTACAGTACCGAAGGTAATCCAGCCTCGAGCTAAAAGCTTCCCTAATAAAGAAAACCTTACCTAACTTAACATTGTTTGTTTAAAGAAATTGGAACCACCATCAATATCCAAATCAGCTTTTCTTCCTGCCACAGCTTCAATAATTTAACTGGGATCTTCTATTCCAGCTGTGTTCAAGGCAACAGGGTTGACAGAAAATTACGCTAAAGTGCTGCAGAAAAGAAAGACACTGAAGTCCTTGGAAAATGTAGGGCAAAACAAACAACAAAATTTCTTAAAAAATTAAAACTAATCGGTTTCATTTTCAATCCTCAGCTACCACAAATTGACGAACTGGAAAACCGTTTAAAGCTGCTACTCCAGTTAGCAAAACTGTATCTATTGCTGTAGCTCCACCTTTCCCAATAGCATCAGGGTCGACGACAGCTACCACAGTTACAGAAAACACGAGCTGCCTCGGAGTCTCAATATAATATATATAATATAATAAATATAATAAATAATTGCTTGGTTCAACGGCGCTCTCAGTCTTAATATCACTCTAAAGATCTGCCCGACGCTTCAGTCATAGGTTTTAGTTCATGGTCTATGGCGGAAACGTCGGGCAGAATAAATCGTTGTCGTTAGAGTGAGATTAAGACTTAGAAAGCCGTTAAACTAAGCAAATCACTCAAGAACTAGTCGTCACCATCACTAATAAAGTAATTAATCAACTCAAACTATATTTTTCATTCATATCCTTTATGAGTTTCATATGAAATGACAAATGAAATTGTTCGTAATATCCTATGATAGCTATCGTTCGTTTAAATTGAGATTCATAGTTATATGCATGAAAAATCATACGATGGCTGATTGACAAAAAACTGAAAATTCTTCATAGTTCGGTCGTATGAAATTCAACATAAAATCTTGTCGCAAAAAATCATACGATATTTCTATGAAATTCGTTTGATTAATAATCTCAGTGTAGAAGCGTATTCAAACCAAATTCTGGATATATGTTCAAGAAAAATCCGAGAAGAATTGTGCATTTTCCTGTCATTGCTTTGCTCACCTCATTTAATGAAAGAAGCTTTGACTTTTCGAGTTGAAAATAAGCCTTATTTTGGCTTTCAATTCCTTTCTCCGGCACTCTTTTCAATGCGTTGTCCAATGGATCACTTTGTCAAAGCAGTTTGGCGTGACTATCGACCAGCGATTTCTCAAAACTACATTACTATTTTTTTATAAAACGTACAAATTTTGGCACTTTTCTCGAGGTTCTAGAAAAAACTCAAATTATTGATTTATTTTGAAGTTCGAGTGGCAGTAAACGTCAGTTTCACTGATCGAATAATGTGGTTTATTTATTCGAAGCATGAATTCCACCACAAGTCAATCACATATCAGACGACAAGCTTAAAGTTACACGGCCAAAGGTTGTATCAATCATGATGCAATATCTGAGATAACGTGACATTTTTGACCATTAGCGTCTGTCCATCTGACATTAGCGAAAACTTCTAGCAGACTGTCATGATAAATTTAGAGCTGGTTACTTATTGAATTAGCATATGTCCACCCACCCTAAATTCATGCGCCCCTTTAATGTAAATTGCTGTGGAAGCCTTATTTTACACTTGCTCCAGAGCAGCAAACCGAGAGTTCCTATTTCATTAGCCAAGAAGCACCAGTGTACGAGATTTGAGCTCTAAAAAACTAGATGTGATAGTATGTATCAGTCATGATGACGACCATTTCTCGCGTAACATTTGAAAAGGGCCTATGTCCAAAATGTAAACAAACCGATTTTTGATACCATTCTGTAGCACTGGTAATTAGCTACCAGTCGTATAGGAATGTTCCGCATTATCGATAAAAATCATTAAAAATAACTTGATTTTAAAAACGGCCGATCCACCAAATTTTTCCAATCATTCATGCTAAAACGGCCTAACCTCGGGCCTAACATATATTTTTTTTTTCGTTCGATGAGGTTCCATTCATAAGCCTAGCGACGTAGAAGGGCCGATGATTGAAAAATTTCAAATCAAAGCTAAGCCCTACTGCTTGAGGCAGGGCCGATGATTTATTTGACGTTAAGAAAAGGCTTAGCAAAGGGCCTACAATTTATGATGACAAGCACAACGGCTTAACAAAAAGGGCCTAACCATTTAAAGATTCACAAAAAGGCTTATTACTGTGATATTAAATTTTTATCGATTTTCATGTATTTTTGAAAACGTTTCGCATGTTTTGGATGTTGTGTACTGAGATATAGTTACTACTGTTATTGTGAACAATATAAATGCCTAAAATACTTCAATCTATTTATATAGGAATTAAATACTGGCGGAAAAATTTACAATTCATTTTCTGGATTGTTTACATTTTGGACATAGGCCCTTTTCAAATGTTACGCGAGATTTGTTGAATATTCAATGGATCACCTTAAGAAGCACCCATAATAGTATTATTGGAATGTACACACAATCTAGTTCCCTCTAAAACATGTCTGTCATCAGCTTACCATAAAACTTAAAAATTCTAATTTGTCAGATAAGTTTAAAGGTGGACCAAAATGCAACGAAATTTTACAACCGAAGTTTCTATCTTTGAACTTGACCTTCTTGAGGGTGTATAAAGTTGTATCACAGACAAACAGACATAACATATTTAATATTTTTCCCTATGAAACATAGATGCTAAAACACATCTGTCATCTGTTGAGTTTACTGTGATAAGTACCCGAGCAAAGGTGAAGATCAAATTGAAATCAAAATTTGCTGTTATGATGTAACTTATTTTGAATACTCCAGTTGATCTCATATTGGTTGACTTAACGGTTAACACAGCAAAATTTTACACTGTTGAAGCAAACGGAAAACTAATCCTGCTTTCAATGAAATCAATTTGATTACTGATTTTGCATTCATAATGTTTAACTGAATACGGGCCTAGAGTAAATGGTAACCATTCATGTTTCTCAAGCTGAAAGACTTAGGCTCCAATCTCACCGCGGGCAAGTCACGAATGACCTAAAATGTGTTAAACAAATCAGATAAACGATAATCATTAGTTCAACGACAGATGAATTTCAATTAAATTTTAAACAAGACGTAAACAGCAGAACTTCAAGTTAAGTTGCTTTCGTCTTGACTGCATAATGAAAGCACAATATGATATCAGACTTATGTCGCAACATTTGAAATCAAAATGAGTTTTCATTATGATAGGAACTGCACACTTTAATATCGATTTGCTTTCATTTTGTTAACCGACTTTGCTCGGGTAGTAGGCTGAACAGATGGCGGTAGTGTGTAAACGTCAAACGCAAGGTTTTTGACTATGCTCGCCACACGTGGCTGTACTACCAACTGAAAACATTTAAATTTACCGTTACAAACCGAGTTCGATGAACAAATTGTCAGAGTTATGCCTGTTTGTTTGTGGTTGTACCGTCTTTCGTTCAGCTCAAATAGCATACGATCTAGAGCAATGGTTTATATGTTTACGTTCAAGATTTATACGATTACGATGTACTATGTAAAAACCACTATTAAATTTCTAAATTAAGAGTGAATGAGAAGCCTGCTCCTGTAGACTACTTTCGGACTGCGTTTTAATCTTAGTAGCTGTGGTTAACAAAGCACAC